GTTTAGAGGCAGTTTAAGCTAACTTGTTTACATCATTATAACTAATGATACCACAACCGTCGTGGTATATTTTATTCTAACATGAATTTTGCAATACTTTACCCAAACGTATCGATAAGCTGTATCTTTACAAATTGCTTTCGTTTCAGTTAATAAAGCTTAAGACTATGGTTTTAAGTGGTCATTAACAAACAGTCCTTGTTCGTTACCCACAAACCCAATGTGCCTCGCTGTCATGAATTTCTTGGCTCGCGCTGGAGCGACACATTCTTCCTTTACGTAGCAGTTGATGAAGTTGACAATATAAGATTTATCTTTTACCAAAATGTCGGCATCCTCGCTATGTAATTTAATTGACGTTTCGAGATCGTGTAACCAACTAGCACGCATACGTTAGCAGCTAACTCCCTTTTTAGGACCGATATTTCAGAGAGGGCTGAGTCAACTGTTACTTTTATTTGCTCCTATTTAGGTCTCTTGGATTCTGTACTCACAGTTAATTATTTTTTCACTATTAAATTCACAGTATGATTTCAGCTCTCCTATTACACGCCTAATGCTTTTCATTAATGAGTGCTGGTTGATAGTGAAGCTGTAGCTTTAGGTCACGTATTTTCTGTCGAACCAAATCAATCGAAGCACCCCCATCACATGTAGGGATCGGCGGCGACGTGATTGGCTTTGGCTTTAAAGGAGTGCATAGAATGTCCCGGCAATAGGAACCTCCACGCAGCCCTTCGGTCGGTATCCAGCTTTCTTTGGTTATATTTGAGCAGGCAAAACAAAATTTGTTTTTTACACGATCGACACTTAACGCCATCATTGAAATCCGTGTTGCATAGTGCACAATGCATTTTTAATAACAAATACTTCCGACGTAAACAAATAAGATATTCTAATAAAAAATTCTGATAGAAAATGAACTTAAGCACAACCTTTTTGTAACTCCTGATGCTCAGTACTCATTTTAATCAATACCAACACGTGCTATCTCTAAGAGCAAATACGACAATTGAAGGATTTGAACAATGACAAGGATGCCTTATTGGCTGTGTTTAGCCGTTTTATTGCTCGTAAGGGGAAACCACGTAACGACCTTTCAGAAAACCTCACCACGTTTGTTGGTGTCCTTAATGAGATGGCTCAGCTGCCTTCACAATACTTAAAATTAAACGACATCGATGAAGGTATTAATTTTTCTTTTATTCATCATTCCAGCCTATACATTATATTTTGGAGGACTGTGGGAGTGTGCTGTTAAATCTGTGCAAAACCATTTACGTTGAATTTTAGGCTTTACGCATTTGACGTTTGAAAAAATGCCAACATGTCTTATCCATATTGAAGCAATGTTGAAATCATGACCTATAGTTCTTTCAAACGACACTGAAGACCTCACTCCACTCACTCCTGCACGTTCCTTATTGGATGGTCTCTAGTTATGAGGCCTCATCCACAGATTGCCAATGTAACAGCGGTTCCATCGTATTGACTACCTGAAGCAACATTTTTGGAATCATTTTATTATGAATACGTCTTATGGCAAGAAAAGATAAAATAGTGCCACTTCTCGGGTACGCTTATCGAAAGGTTCTTATTAAGAACAAGGTGACTCCCCCTTATGTGAACCTTGGGATGAGTCGTGCGCTTGCGGACGACATTGCACGGGTTACCGACATTCTCACACGCAAAGACACTTTGACTGGGTGCGTATGTTCAGATCACTGAACGACATTTAAGTGAGGGAAGCGGTAAAGCCGGTCTGCTGGTGGCTGCGGATTGCTTGGCGTAGAGTGGGGAGTGAGCTAACGAACTTTGCAACTACTCAACGCGCGGGCGTTCAAAGTATATAATTTTTAATTTGCACATATATACTACAGAATCATATATATAAATTATGTAAACCATTTTGGTTCCTGGGTAAAATTTAGAGACGAAATCAAGATCAACGATTGGTTTTATGGAGTGAGAAAAAGTTAGAAAAGTTATTAATTCGTTCACCAAAATGTAATCATAAAATATTCGAACAAATTCAACAAAGTTGTCGGTATTCCATTGGCGATAGACACCCTATTAAAATGGGTGCTGTGACTATTAGCAGAAGCTCGGCATCCGCAATCTCTTTCATGTCGACATTTTATTATAGGACGAGTCGGCCGAGCTGTAATCCCTAGCGGACGCTACAATTTACGATTTATAAAACCGCCATTTCTGTTGCAAAACGAAACGATAAAGAGAACGTTACGCTGCCTACATCCGTGAAGTACTTATTCTGACCCGTATCTTAATATTCAGTTATTAAAAATTAATACAAAAAATCCAATACGAATGTTTGCATTGGTACTAATATGATACTGGTTTCAAACCGCTGTATAAAAATATTACATAGATTTATAATAATTTCATTCCTGACGAATTAATTATAATGATATAGTAACGCTCCTCCCTCTCTATATATGAGACTATGGACATTTGTTAAAAATATAAAATGTATAAATATATAATAGTAATCTTTTCGACGGATCTTTTTTTAGAATCTTACTAAAAGCTTTAGTTATAGGCCGTTTGTCAAATTTATGGCGTGATCGTCTCAGTTTGGACCCTTACTTACGTTGTGTTTCTTAAGAAACTTAGTTATTTAAGGTATCTCCTGGAAAAATGAATATTCACTAAAATAATCGAAAGCTGTTGGAAGTGGCCTATAATTATATTAACCTAAAGAACCCCCTTCACGAAGCAATGGCTCTAAAAGGTTAAACATTTAATCGTCCGTATTCCATTTGTAACAAAAGAAATATAATTTAAGGAATTCCTATCCCTTGTATCGTATATATATATATATATATATATATATATATATATATATATATATATATATATATAAATACCCGATACAAGGGTTTCACTTTCCCACATTTTTTCGAAATCCACTCCGGCTCCACTCACGCCGTGTACGGTGAGCGTCAATCAACCAACGCACTCCCCTCGAAGAGGAACGTTGAAGTTGGTAACTTGACCGTAGTCCACAACAAAATAACTGGCGAACCAGTAAAATAGGGCCTAACTAAAAATATAGATCAAAGCCGCGCATGTCAATGGGTGTAAATGGCATACAGAATACAGCCACAGTTAATGGATATCACACGGTTTAAGCAACACGGCGAATAATAAGCACATTGTCCACAAAAAGTCCTCCGTGAGCATCACCACCTGCCATTTCTGTCAATATAATGCTTTAACATACTTGAGACCTTCCACACATTTGCTTTATTTCATAGACACAAATATTTTATATATATATGGGACTTCGATCCACAACTCTGTTATTATTAATGCTTTTGTATCATGTACCTTATTATCATAAGTCCTAAATATAGGACTACTCATTGTGCAACAGTTCTTTTGTAGTCAGGCACCTGACCACCATACTTTGGGTATGCGTCTCCGGCAACTTCCTTATAAAAACAATCTTTACATGAACACCCTCCAGCAATACAAGAACACGCTCCGGCATTATAAGAATACGCTCAATAAATTTTAGAAACATTACTATACTCCTGGAAGTCGAAGGATGCAGGTGGATCGGGACCGTGCTTTGTGGCATTCCTTGGGGGAGGCCTATGTTTAGCAGTGGAATTGTTCAGGGTTGTTGGTAATGATGATGATGATAAATCCTTTTCAAAGAATAACTAAGAAATATTCCTCAAAAATTTAATTAAAAGAAGGAAATAACTGCGGTGCGGCTGTTCATCGGTTAGAAACCGTACCATACGTTTAAAGGTTTGACGGTGTTGCCATTTTTTTTAACACTTAATTGTTATACATTGATGACATGTGGATATCAGTTTCAGCTCGATAGTCCAATGAATACTGTCATTAACTTACGTCTGAATTACCCTCTAGTAAACTTAAATGCTTTTACGAGAACTTACATACAAATTTAAGTACAATATCCTCAAATGACACTAACACAGTACTGGGAGATTATAATGTACTAAGTTTATCATGGTCTGTTAATCTAAATGGGTATATTCCTTACTTTGCTTCCAGCTGTTCCTCAGAATTTAAGCCGATACAATATTATTATTTAATTACATTTATTTATACAATTTATATCAGACGAATCACGTCCGGAATGAATTAGTTCGCACTTTAGACCTTGTTTTGACCTCCTTTACTAGTATATTAATTTTTGAAACTAGCCCATTATCGCGTATCGGTAAATATAAAGTTCCACATGAAATATTGATTAATGGACTGTCTAAGCCAAAGTATATCAAACCTAAGTATGATAACCATTTTAATTTTGATAAATGTAACTATGATGCAATACGTAAAGAACTTAAGGGTATCGATTGGGGGATTCTCTTTCCAGACGAAGAAGTTGACTTGGCGGTAGATTAATTTTACTCAGTAATTAGCGATATCATTGTTTAATATGTTCCTGTACAAAAAAACTTCCACTTACTCAATATGGCTCTTAAGAGCGCTAAAAAAGAGCCTTGCGGAAAAGAAAAAAAAACCATAAAAAGTATAAAATGTATGGTAATCCCCGATATTGTGATACTTTATTACTTAAGCAAACTATTGTTACAAAAAACATGAATTTTAAATATAAATAACTTTTTTATATGTCTTCAATAATAATATTTTCATATTAAATTTCAGTATAAATGTGTCCATTTTGTAGCAAACTTAACTTTATTAGGACATGGTGTTTTTAATATTTTATACCGGTCAGTACAATTTTCATATATATGTATCTATATAACCTATTATATATTTATATAATAGTATCATCATTACATAATAAACTCAATGTTATTTATGATTCATAAAATTGAGCCGGCATAAAAAGATATTAATTAATTATTATGCAATGTATGTAAGTCAAAAAATACTTAAAGCCACAATGGTTTAAGCATGTCACTAAATAGTGTATATATCTATAATGTGTTTCAAGCACAACTATGCCCTTTTATATATGTATTAAAACTTACCGTCATGTGAGTCATACATGTAAATTATTTCCTTCCATCCGTAGTACAAAATAGTGTCGACTATTGCCTTGTGGTAATCTGGCCTCATACTCACGGCGTGATCGATAAGTCCCGAAGATGGTGGTATAACCTGCACATATAAATAAATTCATGTATAACACAAATATAAGCGAATATTTTAATATAGCACTAAACTTTTTACGTGGTAGAGCCATGCTGCATCTATACTAATTGTATAGTTGTAGCACGAATAGGTAGGCTCGACCGGGGAAGGACCACACTTTCACAGAATACCAGCGTCAAATAGCAGCTTAATGCTGATGTGTTTCGTATGGTGAGTGTAGAGAACCGGAGATCCTTTTTACTGGAAAAGAGGCATTCCATATTAGTCCTCAAGGCTGAAAACGCATCTTCATTTTGATTCGCAAACGGGGATGAATGTAGATCTCTATGGGCCACAGCAACCACTTACCATCAGTTGGACTGTGTGCTCGCTTGTCACCCATTTTCTTATATAAAAAACCTTAGGTAAAAATAATCGCAGCGTCATATATAGTACCGTCGCTAGAAGTCTTGCTGAATGCTGTGTAATGGAGGCATAAGAGAATTCACTATGCTGGAATACGATTACGAGGTTGTCGTAAGAAGCGACTGAAGGAAACTAAAACACCAAATGGGCAGCAGCGACTTCCTGATAACAACTCTAATATAATTAAAATAAACTGTGGTTGCCAACTTGCTTGCCAAACGTGGTAACTATGGCAAAATCATCCCTATGAGGCAGTCTATGGCGAAGTCCTATGTTCAGCAGTGGATTTTAATAGGCTGTAAATATCTGATTATTCTTTTTTTATCAGCAAACAAAGGTTTATTGGAGAAAAAAGAAGATCAACAATACATAATTATTATTTCTTAATTCAATAAGCAGAGTAGATTTCAATATATATCGGAAAACTTATGTAAAATTTTCCAATTTTCTTGGTTAAAAGTTAAGTTGTGTAGTTGTGGTTTACATGTTGTCATTGTTGACTTATCTGAGGAAGTTTACATGCTCTAAGCGGTAGGTAGTATACATATACGTTTAGCTAATGAGTCTCAGTTCATACCAGAGTAAGCAAACTATACTATATCATATCTTACTTAAATCAAATTATTGTTGCAAAGCTCAAAATTTTGTTCGCCTTCACTTAGAACTTTGCCTTCGTTATGTGAGCTTACAGCCATTGATCCCCATTTACCAACTATCGTAATTCAAAAATATATAAGTTTATCTCAAAATCATTAGTATTAAATTAGTGTCCGAATCGTTAAACTAAGCACACGTATGCTTAATTCTAACAAATCGTAGCTGAACTCAAGCACCGAAATTGAATTAGAGAAATGACTGTCAGCAAAATCTTACAGAGAGTCGCTTAGAGAACTCGATTTTTCCCACAGTCAGACAATTTATTTTCATCAAAGCTAACGTCTGATGGAGACGTTCCGCTTTAATGCGCATCAAGAAAAAATACTATTCTGTCGTCCGGCGTCCATCAAACTTGCACATATATCTATGTGTATTAAATTCAAAACTTTGCTATTATCTTTTTTAAGATTTAGAACTTTTAACTTTAGAGTTTTAAAACAGTAGAATTTTTTCCTACATAAAAAATCTACTTTGGGGGTAAAGTTCTCTCACAAAATATCGTTAAGGTGATTAAACCTGCATTAATTACAAATACACATCCACACTCGGAACAATTCTTCATAGGCCAAAACAAAACACTTGTTTCGTGCGAGATACAAAATTGATGAGGCATCTGCATAAATAATACCTCAAAAGGAAGGGCAGTACATATGCCTTTTTTTAGACTGTTTTAACAACAAAGACTTTTTTTTAATGATGGCATAAATACAAAATTTTCTTAATTTTTTCGGTTTTTCAAACATAAACTGCTTAAATTTTTTTCTGATGATGAAGATCCTTGGTTATTATTTTGTTGGAGTAATCATACATTAAATAAATAAAAAATAATAATTTAAAAACTGCTACTCGTACTGGGTACTATTATCAATTAATTAAAGTAAATGCGTTTTGTTGTTAAAAACCTTAGAAATTGAATTAAAAAAGGAGCAGACTTCGTCTAAGACTAGTTTAGCTCAATATGTTTAATGTATCATCCCTTTCAGCAGGCTTTGCACTCATTTTGCCTGTAAAACTAGGTAGTTACTTCTTTTTTGCCTAAGAGTCTGTCTTGACTAGCCTCTTATCCATTTCATCCACTAAATAATAGTCTGCACTGCTGTGTTCCGTAGAGAACCAGCATAATTACAGGCTATGTGGACTTTCATTTCAGCCCTCAGAGGTAACAACGCCAGTGTTTATGCTACCAGCATAGCCACATATCATTAGGTGGACCGTAAGTTCGATTGTCACTTGAGGTTTATAAAACGAAGCCATATATATATATATATATATATATATATATATATATTTATATATATATATTTTTTACAAGGCATTTCTGCTCTAACTATTCAATAACTAACAAACACAATGTGTATTTAACACCTTGCAATAAACGCGTTTTATACAGTCACTTTTTTATATATTTACGCTTTTGTAGATTTCATAAATTAGGTATATTTTGACACAGATCTATAATGCTATTATATTATTATATGAAGTAGTTTTTACTATGTTCAAGGAATATATTTAAATTATAAATTTTTCTTTTGTAAGTCCAAAACATACCTTCTCTGGAAACCACGGTGTGACGAAAGGCATTTGGAAAGTGTTTGTGTATGAATGAAGCGTATCAAAAGCTTCAGGTGTTACTGCGCCTAGCATAGCAAACACGCCTCGGGCGAACTGGTTGCAAACTGTACAAAAAAACATGTTTATATTTATTATTGGTACAATTTGACGCCATGAAAGAATATCATGGTCGCAATTTATCTCGAGGTGTCTTTTAAACATATAATAGATAAAGTGGCAAATATAGATTATGGTGCTAATAATAAGATGATGTGCGGTGGCGGCGTAAGAGGATCCATTACCCCATATCATCACGTAGGATGTAGCACCAGTAAGTGGTGACGGAAGATAATGAAACAGAGTTAGACAGCAAGAGCTTCCCAATAAAACCCCCGACTGATAAAATAATCTGTAGTTACGCACCGGTCTGCCAATCATGGCAACTATATAACAAACATTTTGACGTGATAGAGCCATGCTGCAGTTATATTAGTAGTATAGTTGTAGCATGAATGGGTCGGCTCAACCGGGGAAGGATCACACTCTCACAGAATACTAGCGTCAAATAGTAGCTTAATGCTGCTTCCTTTTTACTGGAAACGAGGCATTTCATCCAAGTTCTTACGGATGACAACGCATCTGCATTTTGAATCGCAATCGAGGATAAATGTAGATGTCTATGAGCCACAGCAACCACTTACCATCAGGTGGATTGTGTGCTCGTTTGTCATCCTATCCAAAAAAAATATGGAATTTTTTTATAAAACAATTTTTTTTTATTACTCAAAGAAAGAAAATAAACGTTAAATTAAGAGAAAATTACTTATTTTTTATTTAGAATTAAGAGAGAATTATCTATATTATAAAAATCATTTTTTTTTTCGAATTACCTGCTTATGTCAATATCAAGTTACACACGATCTTGTTTATGTACACAGGTAAATCTCACGATAAGTTTTTATGTCATTTATATTGTGTAATGTAATAAATTGATGAGTTTAATTTAATTTACGGTTTATTTTCTTATTTTTAGAGCATTTAAATAAAAGCTTGTTTTTAAGGTCTGAGCACATCGGTAGAATTGGCGAGAAGCTAGTTTGCCTTCCTCCGGGAAGCCGTGCATTCTGCTATCTCACCAAAACTGTCCAAGGAAATTTCTGTCAGTTCTCTCTTCCATCTCTGCACAGAAAGGACGAATCACTGGCCCGTCCCGCAAAGGAGAAAGCCTATCTGTTAGGCTCCCTCTTTGCATCCAACTCGATGACGGGGGGAACACACCGCCGATCATCCCGCGGTGTGAGTGCTCCATACCAGATGTGCGATTCACACAGCGCTTGGTTCACAAAGCACCCCTTTCCCTGGACGTCAGCAAGTCGAGTGGGTGAGATAGAGTCCCTCATATTGTGCTGAAGACGTGTGCTCCGGAGTTGGCACCGGTTTTAATGCGTCTTTTCAGGTACTCTTACTCCCAAGGCGTAGTCCTGAATTCTTGAAAGACAGCTTTGGTCCACCCGACCCCTAAAAAAAGGCGATCGCTCAGACCCGTCCAACTACAGGCCTATTACCAACACCTCCTTGTACTCCAAAGTAATGAAGTCAATTATAAACTGCCAGCTCATGGGGTACCTAGAGCATCACCAGCTAAACAGTGACCACCAATACAGTTTCCGCCGTGGTCAATCAGCTGGTGATAATCTGGTCTACCTTACTCATAGATGGGCGGAGATAGTAGTCCAAGAGGGAGGCATTGGCCGTTAGTTTAGACATAGCGAAGACCTTCAAACGATTGTGACACAAAGTGCTTCTTTGGGAGCCTCCTTCCTATCGGCTTCCTTAGAAATTTTGCGACTGGATCACTAGTTTTCTTGCTAATCGGAGCAACATCGTCGTAGTAGACGGTGCATGCTATGACTACAAGCCTATTAACGCTGGTGTTCCACAAGGCTGCGCTGTTTCGTCTGCATATCAATGATATGTTGCAAATTGGTAACATTCATTGCTATGCAGACGACAGCACAATTGATGCCTCATACACCGGCCGTGCCAATATTTCTCGAGAAATCGTCACCGAGTACCAGGGCAAATTTGTGTCTGAAGTTGAGTCTTTGCTTAACAAAGTATTGGATTGGAGCCGATTAAATCTAGTCCAATTCAAGCCCTAGAAGCCACAAATGTGCGTGCTAACCGCTATAGAGAACCTCTTTGTCGTATTCCGTCCATCTTCTCTGTTTGAAGGCAGCTCCTTGCTGACTCAGCTAGCATCGGAATTCTATGTAAATGTCTCTAAAAAGCTTGGCGTGCTCGGCAAAGCAAGACAGTGTTTCATGCCGGCACATCGCTTGCAACTTTAGAAAGCACAAGTTCGGCTTCACACGAAATACTGTTCTCACCTCTTGACTGGGGCACATCAGTACCATCTCCTTCCACTTGACAGCATCTATCGCAGAGCGATTCGAATGGTCGGCGACCAAGTTCTTTCTGATCGGCTCGATTCTATAGCGCTGCGTAGAGATGTTGCATCCCTTTACGTTTTCTATCGTATCCACCATGGGTAGTGCTCTAAGGAATTGTTCAGATTAGTTCCAACCGCTAAATTTCACGAACGCACATTTAATAAACATATCTTAAGGGTTACAAATTATAAATAGCCATTTTGTGACGTGCGCTATGATATGTGGATGTGTATATAGAATGACGTCACTTCACTTATTGTGTTTCGATCATCAACCCGTTTCATTTGATACTCATAGAAGTTACTATGGAAATTATGAGTGGCTATTTTCTCACGTCTGCCGTGCAGGATTTAGAAAAACTTCACTTATTGTGTTTCGCTCATCAAGCCCTCTCATTTGATATTGATATCATAGAGGTTACTATGTAAATTACAAACATCCATTTTGTGGCGCCCGCAGTACCGCCGTATAAAAACAAAATGCAGAAAAATTCAAAAATATACACAAAAAAAAAAAAACATATGCACAAACCAGAAGTAAACTCTAATACACGACTTTATGTCAACCCTAACTGTAGGTATAGTTACTACGAATCAGTTAGTGGCAACTTTACCTAACCTCAAGTAGGATTACACATGCAGATATTTCAATAAGATGAGGAAATAGTAATAGCTGATAATAATAACTATAATCCTAACCGTTTACATGCAATACTAAACTTCAGTCACTTTGACAAAATATTTAGGCTCCATAAATGCAATTTTAGCAAGTAGTTTATATAATGATTTCTTATATTTACACGAACGCGTTTAATTTTAATTTTTTTATTATTATTTTTAATTCCCGACGTTTCGGGTGCTTTCCACATGGACACGGGGAACTGAGGTGACTGACGTCCCGATGTCATTGTTAAACCCGGAGTACCTTCAGCTTTTTTAATTATTGTCTATGGTCCGATCTATGCAAAATGAATAGTCAGTTCATTTTGCAGTTCATTTCATTTTTATAATTATAATACACAGTAGTTTTAAATTCACACAACAAATTTCATATAAATCGGTCAAGCGGCTTTTTAGTTTCAGCGATACTAACGGCCGGAAATAAAAATCTAGTGGCATACGTCATACGAGACCGCTAAGTTACAACACCGACACTAGTATCACTGTCTTTCGTAGCCGTGTTTTTGAGCAACCGCATGAAACCAAAAATTCAATTCGAACGAACTCTTCGTCCATTTTCGAACTTTCTTAGAAATTATTGACAGAATGAGAGATGTTATACGAAAAAAACTAAAACGAATAACTAATATGATGATAAAGTTACAATACAAATTAGAAAACCTTGCATGGAATAAAAATTATAGACCCGTGCATGGTGTATCTTTTGTGCGATAAAATCGGAAGCTCTCACAACCACTAAAACACAAACACCAAATCACAATATATTACGGTTATATTTAAATTTTGAACTTTTATTTTGACTTTTATTTCTTCGTTACATCCCAACAAATATCCCATCCTGAACACAGGCCACCGATAGATTGCTTCAAAGGGATGATTTTAGAAGCTTTTATTTAACTTCACTTGTATGAATTTCCTGAAGTTTTGCAATCAATATTTCACCGAATCCAACTGAAGCTAACGAGCTAAAATTTGGCACACACGTTTGGTTTTCGAGGTAATACACGATTACTTAAATGCAGCCATTTTTAATCCAATATGGCGGACGCAACAATGTAGCGTTTTATCATTTCCACAGCAACCCCTATAATATGGGTATAAAATAAAAGGACTTGATGAGCAAAACACGATAAGTAAGGTGACGTTGTTCTAAATTTTATGGTAGAGTAATGATACTGTGTTTTGTGTGATAAGTGATGAGAAGCCTAGAACATTTTTAATAGTATAACGGGATATTACATCTTTTTCCTAAGAGTTGCATAGATTCTGCATTTTGATTCTTATCTATTAATGATACCGTAAAACGTAACAACTTTTCACAACTTTTCACAACCCTTAAAAAGTTTACCATACCGTAGTATTTGACTTGAGAAGTTATTTTAATAATCTGTTTATAAATAAACTTGGTAAATAATGGTAGTATTTTTCTATAGTTTAGTTTAACATATTTTATATTTTTCTAACTGGTAACATTGATAATTATGTCTGTTTAATGTGCGGTGTTGTGAAGACGTGTGCATAACTACTTGGTAAAATTGCACTCATGTAGCCTAAGCCTGTTGTCAAAGGTGATTGATTGAACTTTTATATTGCATGTAAATGATTAGAATTACAGTTGTTATTATCAGCTATTACTATTTCCTCACCTAATTTAAATATCTGCATGGGTAATCTTACTTGGGGTTAGTTAAAGTTGGCACTGACTGCTAACTAAGCTATCTGTAAACTAAACATTGTAGTCCTAGTTCTGGTTTTATAGGGCGGCAAAGCTTAAATATTACCCTCAAGTACCTTTTGAAAAAATGTATTCAGTTTCACACTATAAGCAAATACGCAACAAGGATTGTATTAAGTTTGTTATTCCTAAGAATTCGGATGAACATAAATATTGCCTGAAAATGCTATAGTAAAATATCAGATTAACCTGAAGAATGTGTTCCTATGAATGATGAAGACAACATTTATTTTTATTAAGTTAAGCCTACTCTCGTC